CGAAAGTTCGTTTGCGACATAGCCGTAATCTCTCGGGGTATCGATAAGCTAGTGCCTACACCTTTATGTATTTTTGTTCGTCCGAAGAACAAACCGAAAAATAGAAAAAACAAAAACGTTAAAAAGGAAAATGTTGTTGAAAACTATGCCTCATAAATTTCCTTCGTTTTTGTAGCCGAGCATTATGTCAAATTTTACTTAGGTGCATTTAAAAATGTTTTTACTATCCAGACTCGCATATTTTTTGCACCGCAAGTGGAAACTGCACCCCTCCTCTCCCCTTTCAGGTTCCTTCTTGAAATTACCTGAATCTCAATCTGTCACCCTTGTAGTGTCTTACTTTTCTATCTACTTTATCTGACCTGATTGTACAGCTTGTTTTAATATGCTCAGTACCTAATACACAATACAAAAATTCTGTTCGTAAATACGCACGTGTTCTCCGAGTGTTGCTGAGGAATTAAGCAAGCATTATCAGTTATCGTCAAGCGGTCCGTTAACTGTCGCAGTCACCCAGTTCAGCTCCTCTACACCTCGTCGACCGGAACCACACATCACAAGAACAGGATCAATCGACCAGTGGACAATCCTTCTGTGAGTCCGTTCTTTGTACCGTTTATTTCATTATTATTCGTATATGTAATATCTTTTCCACTACATCCTCACTAGCGGACCGTGCTCTCAATATCTCGTCAGCGGGTATCGCCCATCAATCAGAAACCGACAATTTTTCATGATCCGGGACCATTGAACTTAGCCTCGAACCAGTAAAATACTTCCAGACTTCAATATCCTTGTCGGGTTTCGCCAGGGATTTTAACGGTAGCTAGAGTAGACACCGTCAGAGGACCCGTGGGCAGTGTGGGTCTCGTCATGTTAATTGAAATTATGACACAAGTTTATGGAACCAACTACAAAAATTTGACAGAATTACGCCTGAATGAGAAAGTACGTTTGGAAAAGTGAAATGCTATTAGAGAATCAAAAAAGGTTATCAGGCCACAAACGGTGGACATAGACAGTATATACCCCCTCCCCTTGTATTGCCATTCAAAGCCATATTCCCTTACTTGCGAACTTTTTAGAATTTTTTTGGCAACAATAGTTCGTGATTAATAAGTCCTGGGCCCTAAGTGAAAAGTCGGTGCACGTCGCTTTTGTTTTAGTTTGTGATCTTGGCATCATGCCGGCCCTAGTAGTGAACACACGGATGCAGCCATTTTGGTTCGATTGTGAGTCACGGGCATGTCTCACTGGACCTTTTGGTTCATGATTGCTTTTTGTATTTTACCTGTCTTGCAGACCGTTTGGAAGCCCCCTCCATGGAGAACCTGCTGCGAGATGTGTGCCCCACCTTGTGAAGACGCTAATTGTATAACAGCTCGGACTGCGTTGCCCGGAATCAATCTGCCAGTGTATTTTGAGTGGATTCAGAGCAGGGGTCGGTCCTGAATACTACACGCTAACCAAAGGGGTGGCCTCGGTGTGGTAAAGCAATGAGATGCAAGGGAAGTAGGATACATGCAGAATGGGAGGGAGTTCGTGTCACTATGCTTTCACTTTCCACATGCTTACTCACTCTTCTGCATCTCCTCTTTTGGCTCTGAAGGTTTACACCATACAACCGTCCTTCGTTTCGTGTACTGTGTCGTTCTGCTTTCGTATGAACGCTCGTTTGCAACATGATCGTATTACCCCGGGATGCCGATAAGTCGTGAGTCACAACAAAGTCCCCAGAAATTCATTCTGCAAACCATCACGGAAGAATGTCAAAGAGTCATATTTAAAAGGAGAGTCCGAATTGATAGTGGAGGGAGCGAATAAAATGATGTGTATCCCTTACGAAGTTCCTCATATCCTACAACCTTCAGTGTATACCCCCCACAGCATGCTGTAAATATGTATAGTACCACTTTGTGAAATATTATCATCTGCTTGGTACAGATGGCACAGACAGATATATTGCCATCATTAAAATGGACCCCGCTTTCAACCTTCAGCCAATAATTCAGTTATTCAATAATCCTTTTATTTTTCCAGCTAGTATTACAGAACTTGGCTACAAACGAAAATCTGTGTTCATTCTTCTCGTATTATCCCGTTGACTTGAACGCTGACATTTACCGAAGGCTATACAGCCAAATTGAGGAGGCTCTGGTGGTTGTGTTTGCGATACACAACTTTCACAAAGTGATCCGTGGAAGGATGTTTACCTTACAAACCGCTCCTGGTCATTTTAGCAAAAAACGCTAGGCCTGATCATACTGCTAACAGGCGATACATGTGGGTTACATTTTATTGGGATATAACTTCGGTATTGAACAAAAGTTCTCCTCAGACACGGGGCATGTTGATGCATTATGACAATGGCAATGCGCCGCTGTTAAACGAGATCTCGATTAATAGCTTCGTAGAAAAAATAACGGATAAGAAATTGGTTTTAGCGCCTATAGATGCTTCATAGTTTAACGGAAGCTGTGGCCAAACAAACCACGAAAACTGACAGTGCTATCAACGATATCAAGAACATCTTGTATATGAATGACCAATGGATGCTTCTGAACATTCGATTCGAGTTTTTCATACGATGCAATTCTCCTTCGACCATGATTGATTGACTGTCTTCTGTTCGCAGATAAAATAGTAATTCTTAAGTCACTGAAGCTTGAAATATCAAAACTATTCCACAGGGTTCATCCGACGCTAAACAAAATGAAACCCCTAAAATGCATGGCTACGTTCATTGACTTTCTAAGAATTAAGATAATCAAAAGCTGGTTAGAAAATGCAGCTGGTACGCAACAGCTTTCAAATCAGCCCCATAGGTTGAACCAGTGTCATGACCATCGGATCCCAGTTCAAACTGAATTTATCAGACAGATTCCTCATGTCTGTATCATACTTGTCATCTATTCCACATCCAATTTACCAGGTGATATTATAATACACCTCACCAGTGGGTCTGTTTTCTAATAAGCATATTTGGTAGATTGGGTTTACGCGCGATACTCGCTTCAGATAACTCTGTTCAGGTTGCATTCAACAAGTTTTCTGGATTTTGTTCCTCCAAGGGTATTGTGAACATACGAGAGCCACCATGCCATCTGCAGTCAAACGGCCAGGATGAGCGCCATGTGGGCATTATGAAAAGCCGTATATAAAATACCCGCGAGATAAACAGTTAGACAATATCATTGACATACCTCTGCTTGACTACAGGATTACTCTAAACGAGAAAGTGTCAAGCGTTGTACAAGCTAGTAAATGCTTGCTTCAGAGGAAATGACGCTTCCTGAACCAATCGCGACATGAGCACCACTTCAAGTTCAAACGCAAAAACCTAACGCGGATTTCACACAGGCGACGAGTTTGCAAAGGAATTCAGGAAATGGCACCAAACATGGAATTCAGAAACCATAACAGGAAAACGAGGACAAGTTGTGCACAAACGGTGAGTGGGGACAGAGCAGTGGATTGGACACGTCGGTCAGCCTCGAATGAGGACCAATCCAGACGAGTGAGGTNAGATTCACGATGTCCCAACACAGCGCACGAGCACAATAAACGCAACCACAGACGCTGGGTTTTGTTACACCACGCAACGATCAGCCACCAATAATTCATCGTGAATAGACGGTTCACAAGGTTACTCCAGATCAACCCACAAATGAAATCATACGAAGCTCGAACAATTAGGAAGATATTATACATAACAATGATCAGACGGTGTCACCGACCTTGACCTCTAATAACAGTAGGGTTGTTCTCTTGTGATACGGTTTCGCGCGCGATGTACACACACCAGTCAGTAGAAAATGCACAGAAGTTTTAGGTGATCGCGGTCGACCGCTGGAGCAATTGGTCGGTCCCCACAGTTTACGTTAGTTGGGGCGTGTTGCGCATGTCAGCAAATAGATTTTGCNCAGTCATTTAGGGTGTGATCGACTCAGTGGATAGGGACATCCGGACTTCTGTAATCGATGGTTACATACCCTGAGAGATATGAGTGTGTCCCGAACCCCGCCGCACGCGTATATTCTTTTCTTCGCAATCTAAATCTACCGGAATTCCCCATCGTCTCTTTGCCGCTGCTTTCAACTTTCCAGTTCTGCTTCGACCCCTTCATCTAAAATGAGCACCTGAAAGACAGCAACCAAAACCATCGCACGACATTGCATGGTTACTGGTTGTACAAACTGAAACCGAACAAAATAAGCATGGTCCGTTCTTCCGAACATTTCTGTATTTACTTCTAGACATTGATAAAACATCCTCAGTTGCATACGAAAGCGATGTGTAAGTTTAAACGAAAAAGGAAAATACGGACTGAAATTCAAATAGGACGAAAAGGACTGTACACATACTATACATAGATATAGTTCGAGTGAAACGGCAGTCTATGCCACATAGTTTGAAAGACCAAATCGAAAACGTCTCAATTAGCAAACAAATTTGTGCACCTGAGAAGTTATGAAGATAGAGAAACTACCCGGAGGTGAGACGAAATTTTTCTGTAAATCTAGGCAGTGGTAGATGGGACCGACGGGATAGGACTGGTAATTCCGGGGATGGTCATTTTTGATTTTTTAGCTTCGAAAAATGTGTAGTGTAAAATCACATAACTAGTTCGCATCAATGTCGGATCTTCAGCATATTCCGGGTCCAAAAAGAAAAAGACCGGCATATCGACCTATGAGGGAGACGAATATAAAATAGTCACTATATTGACGAACGATGCAAACATAAATATAACCCAAATTTCAAAAAAACATCAAAATGCGTAAAGACACCGTACAGACTCCGCAGCAAAAACGAAGAGGCACGTCATTCAAAAGAATCATCATAATGGATCTTCTGAATATGAGGGTATATCAACACGATTAACCAATAACAAACTTATCAGAGTAGTAAACTGTTGCATAACACTTAATTGCATGAGTCAATGCACTCAAGTCATTAATGAACGAATTTCATTCACATCGCAATCGCTTGAAACTACTTTCAGATGGTTCCGGGGTTGCTCCAATGGACACTGACCAATCAATCATAGCACTCCCCATTTTTTCCATGTTTGAGTCTTTTCAGATGATACACTTTAACATTTACAAACATATAAATCTAGGAGTGTGACTTTAGTTCACTTCAGTTTGTACAACCATTAACCATGCACTTTCGTGCGCCGGTTTTGGTTGCTGTCTTTTGGCTGCCCCTTTGCATGAAGAATAAGAGAAAGACAGGAAGATTGAAATTAGAGTCGAACGGAAAATGGAGAATTTCAGTGGTTTAAGGTTGCAAAGAAACTGAGAAGATGCACGAGCGCCACTGTTAACAACACTCAGTGTGTATAGCCATCGGTTACGATCATCCCGAGGTCCCCAGCCAGGGAGCCTAACAGGACCTATGTGACCTAAACTCCTGGTTAGGATTTTCATATCCTCGAGTCAGGTTTAAGGTGGACCACCCTTGGCCTTTTCCCACCCACTACCTGCCTCGGTGAACATCGCTCGCCGTGGCAACCTTTTTGACGACATGCATAACACATGCCCCAACCAACCTAATCTATGGAAGTCGACCACTTGCTGCAGTGGGCGACCGCATTTACTTAAAATTCTACGCCTAACCTCAGCATTGCTCGTTCGGCTGCCCCAACAGATTCGTGCAATGCTGCGTAGACAGCAGTGTTTAAACACCGACAGTCTATCTTTATCCTGTTTCCTTAATGGCCAAGTTCCTGCGCTGTAGAGCAGAACTGGAGCGAGGTGTGACTGGTACACTGGTACACACAGACTCACTGATTCGAATAAATCAACACTGCAGCAAATCAGTTTCGGCACAATCGCGTAATTTGTATCACGGGGACGTCGGTGATGTGACCTATTGTTTCCTAGTCAATCTGACCACTATAGTTCTCCTTTTTCAAAACACACACACCTGGTATGAGGTAGTCACCAAATTTCTATTACTGAGGGTTTTCCTCATGCCCAAGACATGTGATGTAAGGTTCGTGACTTGAAGTCTATCCGCTCTGACTCTCGCTCACCGTGATAGGTACCGATTAGCTGCAAGTTCAGCTGTAGCACTGGATGTCAGACTTCGGTTGTTTTCTAAGGGCGAATTCGAGGTACAACTAGCATTAGTGGTTCCCATTTATTCCAGCAGAAATTTACTCACAACATCATCCTCTCTTTAATAAGATTGCAATGACTTGGGAATGTTATCATCCGTCGATAGAGGACAATATTGTGAGGGATCAGTTACCGCATAAAAGCAAATACGCTATCTTGTGACTACAACTTAAAGTGACAAAAACACTAAGAATTGCTCGTTGCTAAACGCGCACAGTGTAACGAAGACAAATGAACGGTTACACACGTACCTTTTCGTGCGGGTTAAGTCGCTGTTCTTCGAAACAAAAGCACTGAAAAAGAAAACGGAGAAACCGTATTTACCGAAAAAAGATAAATGAAATGAACGACGGACAACAGAGTAGAATAAACATTCATAGATCAGATCTGAATGAAGATTGCTTCAAGGTTTTCGTTGTCAATGTGTTACATCCATAGATGGACAACCTCAACTGAAGCTAGTTACGCAAGATTATTGAAGACAGCCCAAGTGTGGGTCCCGCATCCCTTTTGCAAACAAAATCGAAGATTGGTGTAATCATGCAATGATGCCTGACGAATTTCACTGGCCAGGGTGCATAACGTGATGGCATGACTAGATTATTCACATCGCGGATGAAAGGCAAGTGCGGCGTCTAGGATCTATTCAGCAGTGTATTGGCTCCGTGTAATTGGTCAGCAACTTATCCTAAAGGGAACTTGCCAGAAATAACGAAGGATAAGTGAAACTATAGAATTCGAAGTGCGAAATCAAACGGGACCTAAATAGGGAGAGAACTGCTACCAACTGTCGACCAAGAGCAAAGACAGACATCGAGAAGATGCGACAGCTCTCAGAGGCACTTACCTTACCTTACTTGTATGCAACAACCTCCCGCGTAAGAAAAAGTCGGCTTTTGGGATGTCTCTGATGCTAACTGCCATGCGTTGCGATTTGTGGTAAGGCTGGCACACTGTGAAATTCATCCATTGTGTTCGTCGCGTACTCCCACAACGGATCAAAGACCAAAACCAATGACATCCATTTAAGCTGTATAAGCCCAAGCCTTTAGCTGACTCTCGAGGGAACCCGATAAGGTCAAGGTGATAGGCTTTTCCTTGTGTGAGTTCTGTTTTTGATTGGAGGACTGAAAATCGTGTAATTAGAGAAAAAAGAACAGCCTCCCTTTATCCTCACACCGTTGACAGACGATGGAGTATTGAGCACGATACTAAATCCACATAACGGGGTAACCAATGTTCGCAATTTTGTGTGAAGGCTTTTTTCAATGCGAAATCACAAGGGTTTGAGAAGCTTAATGAATGCACTTAATGCTAAGTCGACGAGAAGCTCAGATTTGTCTCTGATCTGACAGTTCGTTCGGAATTTATGGTCTAGGCAGCTGAAGAAACGCAATGTTTCATTGTTGATGTGGGTGAAGCGTGATAGTGGGTCCGAGGAAGTTGCAAAAAACATCATCTTTGAGCTGCTTATCTCCAAACCAATAGCCTTAGTTCTACATTCGACGAGGACATGCACCGGCTTTTGACTTTCAGGAGGCCCATTCAAGTTGATAATACACAATGAACTCCACAGTACCTGTTGACGGAGTCAAATCCAGTGCTGTCCGAATTTACGCCGGTTCGAGGGTTTGCGGTAGCGTACAGATCTGGTCTTCTTGTAGTGTCTGGATTTCATAATGTAGCTTCCATAGATCTGTATATTTTTAAAGAATCTGGTCACTGCCATCACAACCTTTTATTGAAACATTTTACATGATTTGTTGTGATGGGTTAATTTTCACCTGAGTTGCTATATCCTAAAGGGATAATGTGTTATTTCATTTGACAAGTGCAAAAGTGAGAAAATATCTGAAATATCCAAAAAAGGACCTAATTTTCTATTTGGCAGGTCTAGGAGATCTGAATATTGCAGCTGTTTTAATGTTACTTTTAACTAACTCGATGTAAACAACTGAGAACTGAATGAGATGTGGATGGGCCTATTGTAACCGCACAAGATTTAACTCAGCACTGGATTCTCAAAAGGATTGTCCTCCGGTAATTTTCCCCGTCAAAAATAGAACACAGATAGGAGCATGTAAGAATTCATTTACCATGCGAAAATGATGGCTATTTGTGGAAGAGTGAGGAGAGGGGAATGCATATATCGAACGATTGGTTGACTGGATTGCTCTCAACCGCCTCGATTGGTTCACGGTTCCGACCAATCATCTGAGCTCGTCTGTCCTTGCTCTAATTGATTGACCCAGAAAAAAGCAGTTTTTTTATAACACACTGACTCCCTGACGGGATCCTTCGATGACTTTGCTTGAATACAACTCTCTTACCCTTCTCATGGCAAAATCTACTGGCGAGAAGCGTGCCCATAGGTGAGACATGGGGTTCGCGTGCAAAGCTATATGTGTGTGCAATAACGATGGATCTCATCCAAGCTACTGACAAGCACTGAAATACTCAGTTACTGCATACGCTTATATCTAAGTCGTTCGACCTGTTACGCCATGCGGTGTGCATGCATACCCAACTGGTCAATGTCATACAATACAATACATTGGATGATTATGTGACTCTAATTATAGAACGTAGTATTTCCCACCTTTGTGACTAGAAATATTACCTATGCGTAAACACCAGAGTACGAGATGCCTGACAGAAATGCCAAACATCCAATCATCCTAAAGATTACCGCCAACTCAGAAGGGAATCGGGTGGGTTGCAAAACACGCTCTGTTCTATTGACTGATGCTTTGATATAGATCACTAATCTGTGAAGGCATTGCGATCACTGACAGAAAAGCAAATGTACATGGGGTCCACTTCCTCTCTTATAAAGATTCATGTCCCGTGATTTCTTGGACATACACGCAGACTCCGAATTCGGTGAAGTCTAATACAGTATTATTTTCGTTCGTTAGATGAGCTGGGCAATTAGTTTGCAAACATTTCATCACCGGCCGAAATAACCCGAGAACAAACCTAATAAGTGGAAATCCAGACTGCAGAACAGCTCCTGCTTCAACCCTTCGCACTGGTTCAACGGCGAACCAGATTGAAAACAACGAGAACAAAGGACAAAAATAGTCCCTAAAGAAGATTACGCATGAGTGAACGGGCAGAACATCGCCAATCCACAACCACTGAAGGCGTCACCTGGTCTGGTGATGAAAAGTTTGCAAACAAATTGCCATGCTCGTCAACAGGGAAAATGAATTCAGTTCGTGTGAGCTACGAGAACCGATTTTCAATTCTTTGTCGATATTAATATAATAATATTAATAATATAATACACGATCGCTGGCTGAATAACAACACAATGTCATTCAACTGAAAAAATCATCATCCACTGTTTGAAGTTTATTTTCAATTTTCTGCAGGAAATAAGCCGCAAATTTGTCGAAACGTTCGTAGAAGCAATAAGATGCATTAGTATCAGGGTGATTCATCGGGATGAAAACGCAACCGGATTAATAACGATTTACAGTACCGTCTTGGTTTAATCTGACCAACTATCCATTTATGATTACAAGCTAATTGTGCAAGTGGATGTTTGGCAGATTTGAAGTTTCTATGGCGATTGTGAAAAGTTCAGTAGCCTCGGTGGGATTCGAACCGACGCATGG